ACGCCATCGTATCCAGGATCTCTCGGCCCATATTGTTTGTCATTACGTGGTATCATTGCTTGAGTGGTCATGAACGACTGGAAGTAGGAGCACCTGCACTCTCGCCAGGCCTACGATCTTTGCCTTTTTCGCTGTGCGTGCTCTGCGCACCATCTTCGTCGTAGAGATTGTGATCTTCGATGTAGTCAACAACGGGTTCCGGGACCAGGTATCGTATGCTCATATCTCGGCGGATGAAGAGTCGAATCTTAGTCGAGGATATATCGTTCTGTACGAGCTGTTGTATGACCCAGATGTTGTCCTTCCATGACTGTAGCGTCGACAATGCCTCGTCTATGTCTGTGCCGGTCCTCTGACTCGAATTAGTACACTGCTTTATAAGACTGGCTTCTACTCACCTCCACGATGAAGGCGCCAAAATTGCGCAGGATGTAGTCGATATCCTTCGGTGCCCATACTCCAGGTGTACTCATGGTTTGGATGAGGTCCGCACCGGCAAGCAGAGCGATGTGACATTTCTTCTTGCCCACAGGAGTCTCGACACCTCCAGCGACCTCATTGATCTCGTATGCGAAGTGATCCAACACCTTCGCTGTCTCCAGATACTCGGTATGCAGGGCCTCCCACGGATCCACGCTTATCCAGCTACTCTGTGCGACGGCTAACGAGCACATGTTGATTCTGTGTTCTGCCTTGACAAGACCAGTCTTCTTGTATGCGTCGCCGACACAAGATACGTAGGCTCCGACTACCTCGAAGTTCGTGTTGAAGCGTGCGTAGTCCGCTGCCATCTCGAACATGCGCAGATGCAAGAATGTGATAGGGCTGAAGGAACCACAGGCGATGAGCACCAGAGGTATCCTCTCGGCGTCCTCAATTCGCGGTCTGAGTCGTGAACGAGGAAACTCGTAGTCGTCCATCGACATTGAGGTGATGTTGTCTGCCATTGCCATGTTCTGTTTGTTCCTTCTGAAAGGAGGAGGATCGAGCGGAAGGAGATTTTGCAGAGTTGTGTGCGTGCGCGAGCGCGCCGTCGTCAGAGACGAGGATGCAGACAGCAGACGATGTGATGATCGTTGAGTCAGATGAGAGCAAGCGCTACTACTCGGTGTTAACCAGGCGTGATGACGAATAATGGTATGTAGCCTGCGGAGAGTGCGAAATGGAGACAGGGTGGGCGACGGATGTGACGGCTACATGAAACGTGTCGTGCTGAGAACGATGGCGAAATTGTCGTCGAATGAATAGTGCTGCGCAGTGTTTGTAGTCAAGAATGCTTCGGAGAGAGAGGGTTTGCTTCTGCTGTGGTTGAGGCTAATCGCGGAGGTCACGTGCTACTGACTCATCTCGCTAACATGATGCCATCAGCAATGCCTGTCTGTCCTTCGATCTCCTTGCTTATGCGGATGCTTCTGCTCGAGCCACACAGCTAGTATCCCTCGTTCGTGGTGCCATCTCCTTCTTTCCGTCCCATGGTGCCTCGAACGGTCTTCATCATGCTAGATGTCTGAGGGGTCCTCCGCCGCCCCGCAGGACGTCATTGTCAATGGCCGATGCTTCCACAAAAATGATGTAGATGCAGGTATGATATAACATCACCTTTCACTCCTCTATGTCCTCTCTGTCTCGAACATCAGCTCGTCTTTCAAGCATTACAGCTCAGATTACGAGGAACCTCACGACACACGCCAAGATGACAGACACGAGCAAGTACAAGTTCAATCACACTATGCTGAGGGTGAAAGACCCGAAGCGCACAATTGCCTTCTACGAGCTACTCGGCATGAAGCAAGTGAACCAGCTCAGTCCAGATGATAGTTTCTCATTGTACTTCCTGGCCTACGATCACGCTAAATCACCATCACATGGCAACCACTGGTCGGACCGTGAAGGTATAATCGAGCTCACACACAACCATGGCACAGAGAACGACCCTAACTTCAAGGCACACAACGGCAACAGCGATCCCAAAGGATTTGGTCATGTGTGCATCAGCGTTGACAACATTCAAGCAGCATGTCAACGCATTGAGGATGCTGGATACAAGTTTCAAAAGACACTTTCCCAAGGCTCGATGCGCTCGATTGCCTTCGCTCTCGACCCTGATGAGTACTGGGTTGAGATCATCGGACAGAAGCCCGTGCAGGAGACGGAAAATGTTAAGACGACAGATGTCTCAACTTACAGGATGAACCACACGATGTTGAGGGTGAAGTCGGCGGAGGAGTCGCTCAAGTTCTACAAGGACGTTATGGGGATGGATCTCAAGCGTACAAGTGAGAACAAGGATGCCAAGTTCAACCTGTACTTCCTCGGATATGGTCCTCCAGCACCAGAGAAGAGCTCGAACGGCGTCAACCCAACTGCAGACCGAGAGGGTCTTCTTGAGCTGACCTGGAACTACGGCACAGAGAAGGAGAGCGGCAAGGTTTATCATTCTGGAAACGAGGAGCCACAAGGTTTTGGCCATATTTGTGTCAGTGTTGACGACCTGCAGGCTGCTTGTGAGCGATTTGAGAAGCTTGGTGTCCAGTGGAAGAAACGATTGACCGATGGTCGCATGAAGAACGTGGCTTTTGTACTGGATCCAGATGGGTACTGGATTGAGGTCATTCAGAATGAGAAGTACAAGGATACTCCTGGCAAGTATTGATTGTGACCGCCAAGCACGACTGGAGGTGCATTGATAGATGTGCAAGCGGTAGCAGAGAGTAGATCACTAGCGGAGCTCATAGCAAATCGTTCTTGTAGTATATATTGCTGTCCACACAGATGAATGCCTCCTGCCAAGGTCAATATGAAGGACTCAAAGTATGCATCATGGGTGATCTGATCGCTTATCGCATTTGCGTCGGTTGAGTCTCTGGAGCGGCAAGCTCTTTGATTAACGTCGGCTTATTCACTCTGCACGAGAACGATACAACACTACACTCCTCAGTGCGATATTACGGCATATACTGCACAGCATGAGACTGACACAGTTGCACACACTGCTATACGCTGTCTATGCGACAGCAGCAGAGCCACAGGAGATTAGACGATCGCAGAAAGAGCTCGACGAGAAATGGGGCAATGATGTATGAGCGATTCAGCCTCTAAGACGTGCACACACTTACTACCAGGCAGTGGGGATTCTCTGGCATTGCAACGTTCGCACATCTGCCACATACAAGATGTCTGCAAGATCCAGAGCAGGAATTTGATATAGCAATCCTTGGAGCACCATTCGATACAGCAGTGACCTATCGACCCGGAGCTCGCTTCGGACCAAGAGCCATCAGAGCTGGCAGTCAGCGTATGACAGCCTTCCGAGGATACAATGCTCGAGCGAATCTAAACCCGTTCACGGCCTGGGCGAAAGTGATCGACTGTGGTGATATCCCTATCTCGCCGTTCGATAATGCACTCGCGCTCCGTCAAATGACCGAAGCATTCACCGATCTGTCACACTCGAAAGCACCACAAGATAATCGAGCATCTTCGATCAAGTATCGTAACAGGCCTAAACTCCTCACACTCGGTGGCGATCACAGTATAGCTCTGCCTACGCTCAGAGCACTCCACAGCATCTATGGAGGTGTAGCAGTCGTGCACTTCGATGCTCACTTGGACACATGGTATGGCCAATCGGTAGCTTAGATGTAGCTGACATGACAGGCATCCTGCGAAGTATCCTTCGGCATGGATCGACCAGGACGATCCGACTCAGCAGTCATTCTTCACTCATGGCACCATGTTCTGGCTTGCTCACAATGAATCGCTGATACTCAAAGACAAAAGCGTCCATGCCGGTTTGCGCACGAGACTGACCTCCATCGAGGACAACGAAGAAGACACTGCCCAAGGATGGCTTCGGATCACGACTGACGACATCGACGACTATGGAGCCGTAGGTATAGCCAAGCAGATCATGTCTCAGGTCGGTGATGCTCCTGTTTATCTCAGTCTTGACATTGATGTAATCGATCCTGGTCTTGCTCCGGCAACTGGAACGCCAGAACCAGGAGGGTGGTCCACGAGAGAAGTCATTCGTATTCTACGTCTGATAGAAGACCTGAATGTAGTTGGCGCTGACGTGGTCGAGGTATCGCCAGGCTATGACGGGCAGGGAGAAGTTACTTCTCTGGCTGCTGCTCAGATCGCTTTTGAGATCCTCACAAGTATGGTCAAGAAAGGTATTGCCGCAAAGACTGTCGAGGGTGCGAAGGATGAGCTGTAGTCGTAGCCTCAGTAGATGTATCAGAATCAACACGGTCTGTTGAGCGTGCTGCATGCATCACCCGCAGACAGGTAACTCGCTCGTCGATTTGTGTCACATTCTGTCCAGTAATGCCGTGAGATGACGAAAAGACCTTGACATCCTAGCGCTGGTCAGGTCTGCGTCTGTGAGAATGTGCTCGACATGTTAGAGAGCTTTTACGACAATAAATCGTCCCGTCATTTCTTCGCCTGTCGCAGTGATGTACCAGTAGTCGCCTTCAAGAGCGAGCTTGACGCAATGCGGAGCAGTGCACGATGATAGTCACCTTCCCCTTGCACTTGGACATGGAGCGGTGATCGGGGAGCTTGACACAACGGAGAGCCGCCAGCCTTCCTGCTGCGTTGTGCGATGTAGGGTCAACTCTGCCTTGCCAGCTGGGTCCCAGTGCTGCTCCACGCTAGTCTCAGGCTTGTGTGGATCTTGTCGTAGTCCCACCTAGCAAATCCTCGCCCAGCAGAGCCGCTGTGAGGCCCTTGTGACTAGATGGACGATTTCGCTGTGAATATCGGTCATATGTGACTTCAGTGATTCGCCAGAGCGTCTGTCCGTCTCTTAGAGGAGGGCAGATCGAGAGGATAGTGCCTCCGTAGCCTAGGAGAGGTCCGATGGCCCCCACACGGCCGGGACAACCTCCTGGGTCCCCATTGCGCCGGAACTCGCCCTGAGCTCAGTTTTCGAGCTACCGGTTCGCAAAGACCAGCATTCTTGAGCGCCGACGCAGCTCTACAAGCATCAAGCCTCCGATATGGTCTAGTGGCTAGGATTTCTGTTAGTTCCTTCCTCGTCTGTTGCAAAGACCCATTCACTAACAATCATCAGCGCTCTCATTATAAAGTGCCGAGGAGGCCGGGGTTCAATTCCCCGTGTCGGAATCTTTGCTCTGGGACCTCCAGAAGTATCTTTTGTCGTTGGGGGTGTCTCCCGAGCGTTCTATAGCTTTTGGAAGATTTGGGTAAATCGTAGCAGAATTCGATATTCTGGTCCGTGCGGGGCCCGACAGCAGTCCTAGGACATTGCAGAGCCTCGAGAGTAGCCCGGAGACGTTGCGGAACACCAGTAGAGTCTATAAGTCGTTCATGAGACAAGATAGAGCACAAAGAGTCGAGCTGGGCCTCAGCCAGCATTGACAGCGTATCCTGGAAATATTGCAGTGTTTCGTAGGTCGAGACGCTCCAGCAATGAGCCTACTTCGTGCCCTGTAACTTGTGACCATCAATGGTGGTTGTGAGTACCAGATTTCGACCATGACCGAAGGACAAATCCGCGCCAAGACATCGTACAACACAGGAGACGATTGAGATGAAATAAAGACATGGAAATGGATACTCGACATGAAAGGAAACGTCTCTCCAGCATGGTGTGCACCAATACGCAGGACTTTGACTTGGTCAGACCAGAGACAAGTGTCTTGGTGAGCAGCATAGATGGTCGTGACCCGTAATGCTGTGAGAACGATTGCCCAGCGTGAACGACCGACGACTCAGATCAAGCTTCTTGTGACTACTGAACGAGATTGCAAGCATTTGGACGCATCAATGGGTTGTGTATCGAGTATATGAGCCCTCGCAAGCAGACCGCTGCAGAGCCTCATCAAAGTCAACACACGACGTCGGCTTTAGCGTGCCTTCCATGCGATTAGAACTTCTACTTACACAACGAACTGACAACCACACGCGATGCACTGACAACGTCACCTCATAGCTCAGACGAGCGCTCGATCCTACATGAACACAACATGGCACGAGATGGCGCAGTCGATACAGCTCAAGCGCACAGCGTCTTCGTTCGCCTTGTTCTCCCGCCATACACCATCCACTTCAAATCGCCCACATACATGAAAGAGTCGACGCTAGAGCTTCTCGATGGCAGGGTATGCAAGGAAGTACTCAAGAGCTCGGCGTCGAGCTCTGAGGTGCGAGAAGCAATCGGATCAAATCCAAAATACTGGTCAGAAATCGTCACATTACTCAGAGCTGCCGTGATCAGTCTTGAGAGGCGAAGCTTCCAAATATGGGACCCTTCTGGAGCAGACTACGAAAGTACGAGCGGTGCGCTCATCGCAAGTAACTATCCTGGGCTCTGGAAAGACCTGGAGCGACTGAACAACCTTGTCTCGATCAGCAGAAACGTCCTCACTGCTGGCGTACATGTGCAGGACCTCGCGGCCGAACATGCAGTCGAGCTGGAGATATTCAAGCTCATCAACTGCGCAGTAAGAGTGACAGCGAGAGGATACGATGGAGAGGCGGGCACAGGAGAGGAAGAAAAGTGGCAGTATATCGTCAACAATTACAAGAAGCTGCTCATCACAAGCTTACAGTTCTTGAACAACCTCGTCGCTCAGAACGAAAGACGCAAGCTAATGCTATGGGTCAATCTCTTCGATAGCACATCAGATGCGCTTCTGAATCAAGACGACAACTCAGGACAAGTCAATGTGCCTGCAAGACTTCTGAAGGAGCCGGTAGTACCAATAGGCAAGGAGGATCTATTGCTGGCCTATGGCGAATATGAAGACCAGAAGCTCGATCTCGAAGGAGCGATACCTCTGTTTGACGACATCCCATTCCAGCCTTTGCCAAAGGAGGCACTTCGTGGCAAACCCACATACGCACCTAATGGCTATGTCCTCTTTGCGAAGAACACCAAGGATCTGACCATGGACGACTACCGTATAGCACACGAACGCGATGCGACAATAGGAGAGCTGCATCTCGATGTTCCTCGACGATGGGCAGAATTGAACGACTCTGATCATGCTTACTGGCAGAAGAAGTGGGAAGCTATGGATAAGAAGTACCACAACGACGTGGCTATGTATGAGACGAGGCTGGCGCTCATGGAAGGTGGTCAGGTCACAAGCAACGGCACACTAGAAGATGATCAGAAGATTGTGAAGCATCTCTTCAAGCTGGAGGACGACCTGCACGTACGGTTCGATGCTGAGCTGCAAACTAAGTCATCAGAGCCAGCGCTACATCGTGGCACCAGCGTACGCGACAAGAACGAGGCTCCCTCAGACATGATCGACTCCGACAGCATGAAGATGCTCTTCACAGCTGAAGCTGGCACGAAGATTCTCGAATCTGGCAAAGCGGAGCTCATGAAGCGTCTCGAAGGGTATGAGAAGCCAGAAGAAGCACTTGACACCGACCACGAGTATCATGAAGAGCCACCACCCCTCGTACGACGAGCATCAGCACCGGAAGGCTTCCCAGCAGAATATAGAGATCCAAATGCGGAGGCGTGGTCAGTCGCCAGCGAAGAGCCTCGACCAGGCTCAGAGGAGCCCGAAGAGGATGACTATCCCGGCTCCACAGAAGACGGCAGAGGTTTGCTCACGGATGTGCCACTCATCCTTGGTCCTAGCGAGATCGAGGTCCTTCCAATGATTGTGATGAGTGGCATTGTTGCACCGCCAGCTCAACTTCTGCAATGCAAGACAACAGCAGAGCGCAATGCATTGATCAACATGCACACAGTCCGTTGCCACTTGCTATTCGCACAAGACAATGGTCGAAACCTCCTGCGTGAGCTCCTCATCTTCGTTGCAGCATGGGATCTGCGGGAGGAGGAGCTTTACTTCAAGTTTATGGTCAAGATCATGGAAGCAATACTTCAGAATGGTCTGATGCCATACGCATATCACGCCTTTCGCGATCGAAGTCGGAGCAAGGACATCATATCACCAGCACAAGCAGTAATCATGAAACTGCTTACGAACATCTTCAGAGCTAGGAGTGAAGCCAACAAGGCTTCCGCATCACCAAACACAGCCTCACCACGACCTACTGCCAAGCCCGCAGCAGGTCAAATAAGTCACAGTCTGTTGCCAAGCACTCCTCAAAGGGTAGATGTGCACATACTCAACTACATCTTCACGGAATTCCGACAGCACATCATACCACAGACCTGTGCGCTGATATTCCTCCAAGGACAGATTCACCTGGGACGAGCGTCGCCTGAAGACTTCCCACTGAACCTGTGGGACATGGAACGGATGTACGAAGGCGTCTATCAATACCTCGAGTTCTTCGCAGTCTTGACAGAAGAGGGTTTTTGGAAAGGCGTGCTTGGCGGCTGGCAGATCGCAAGCGAGCTTGTGACACTCCTAAGAGAGCTCGAAGGCGGCATACCCAAGATGCAGATCCATGTCGAGAGAGCTCCACGACCAGCACCAGACAGACAGCTGTCGATGCCAAATCTGCCATCGAACCAAATACGAGCAAGCTCAGCTGATGCTCGTGTACCAACAAACACCGTTGGACCAAAACTTCAAGCAACCACAACCTGTACAGCAAGGCGCCATCTTCGAAGCCGAGACACCGCTTGCATACCCAGAAGATGCACAGGACGAGCCATCAGATTTCGAATGGCGTAATCTTAAGAAGCTTACTGTACTTGTACTCTCCTCGCTGATCTGGAAGAATCAGCTGGTGCAAGACCAAGTACGAACATATGGCGGCCTCGAAGCTCTTGTAGCGTGCTGCAAGCAAGATGAGCACAACCCATACATACGAGAGCACGCTATCATGTGTCTACGCTTCGCTGTCGAGGACAACAATGCCAACGCCACAGTCATTAGGAAAATGGCAGCTCAAGGCGAACGTCGTGGTCGTCAGCGGCAAGGCGAGTACGACGTTACTACATATGATGTTCCTCGAGAAGTCCTTGATGCTAATGGCTACGAGACGTTTATGGACGGCAAAGGACAAATCGGACTGCGCAGAAAGGAGCCACAACTGCCAACAGTGCCTACACTCGGCTCATCACAAGTCGCAGCTCGTCAGCTGCTACCGCCGATGCAAGCTGCTGCTGGCATGGCCAAGCTTACACCGGAAAAAGCAGCCGAGTTGATGCAGAATGCGTTGAAAGAGTTACCACTCGGTATGGGTGCCAGCCTGGCTAAGGGTTTAGAGGGACTCATGAAAGGAGAAAAGTGACGAAATGGACGCCCTTCCTCAACGAAGAACGCACAAGAAAAGTGAATGATCAGCACAATCGGAGTTTGCATAGATGATACCCTGTACACTACTTTGATATCAAGCACCATGATGGTCGGTCTTGCATAATATTTACAAGCTTCCTGGTCTCTTCCTGTCTCCCAACGTCGTCTTATCCACCGCAGAATCATCCTCTGAGAACTTCAAGCTCACACTGTTGACGCAGTGTCTGATTCCACCTGGAGCACTTGGCTCGCCTCGGAAGATATGACCTAAGTGTCCACCACAGTTCGAGCAAACGATCTCTGTCCTCCTCATACCCAGGCTGGTGTCGTCATGCTCCGTTACTGCACCGGGCACGGTTCTGAAGAATGCTGGCCATCCACATCCTGACTGGAACTTATCGTCGGCCATGTACAGCGGTGCGTCGCAAGCTACGCAGTTGTACACGCCTGAGTCTGCTTGGTGCTTGTAGTACTTGCCAGAACCTGGATACTCAGTACCTTTCTCTCGGACGATTCGGAACTGCTCTGGGCTCAGCTGTGCTTGCCACTCGCCATCGGTCTTCTTGACCGGGTAGTTGGTGTTGTCCATCTTGTTCGAAGAGCTTGAGAAGAGGGCACCAAGGAATGGAATTGGCATGGAAGCACGGAGTGCGATAGGTTGTCTTGCGAGGTGTCCTCGTACAGCTGCGAAAGGTTGGACGCGGTATAGTGTTGCGTTGCTGAAGGCGAAGACTGTCTTGAGCAGTGTCGGAAAGGACGGTACACGCATAGGAAGAGATAAGTGAGCGCGTGAGGTTATACTTATGTAGTCGCTCGGCTCGGTCGCAGGCGAACACGTCTGTATATCGTTTGGAATCAGTGGCTTCTGTAGCTCGTCGCCACTGCTTAGAAGCTTCGATCTCTCTGCATCGACGTCATGGAGAG